ACAATGAAATAGACCACATCATATTCAATCAATGGTTTTGCCTGACCGATGTCACTGTTGTCCCAAAATTCCAAATGGGATTGAACCACTGTCTCCTTCATGGAAAATTCTACTTCACGGAGTGGGGAGAAAGGGCTGCAAAGTTTAAGAGAACTCCCAGAATGACCACAACTGGGAGCTCTTTGGCACTATTGCTGCAACATGGGAAGATGCCGTCATTGACAACATTGACAAGGAATACGATCGACTGGTTCAGCACCTCCATGATTGTGCGAGGAGTGCCGAGAGAGAGATAGCCACAAAAGAACGCCTGTCTTGGAAAACTCTTGAGCTTATTCACCAATGTAATTTGGCGCATGCCTCAGGCAACCACAAGTGAATGTCCGAGCTCGCAAGCAGTGCAGAGATGTGATCAAGGAAGGCCTCAAAGAGAAGAGCAGCAGTGCTGGTAGATGTGGGAGAAGCCAGGAAAAGCATTCCTAATGCCCGCCTGTCCTTTGCTAACTACAAGACCAAGATGACTGCACTTCAACATCCTGATGGATCTATCACATCTTCCAGAAGGACAATGGAGAAGATTATCCATGACTTCTACTCAGATCCCTTTGATAGCCACGTCCACCTGCCCACATACAAAATCCAAAAAATGGGTATGTCATTACCAACGTTCTCCATTTTGAAATCTGACATGCCATTTTGTCAGTAAAGAAACAAACAGCACCTGGCCCAGACAAAGTCAGACCTGAACGCCTGAAGAACCTGCCATCAGTACTCATCAGTACACTGGCTTGGCTCTTCACATGCTACCAGTCTGAATAAAGGGTTCCGTACCAAAGGAAAACCAGCAGGACTACACTACTGTACAAGAAAGGAGATATCCACGACACTGGCAACGATCGCCCAATCTCCCTATTGTAGTTATCTACAAGTTGTTCACTCGAGTCATCCTTAATAGGATTGGCAGAACACTAGATGAAACACAACCATGTGAGCAAGCCGGGTTCCGCAAAGAATTCAGCACCATTGACCATATCCACATGATAACCAATCTCATTGAGGTTTCTCGGGAGTTCAAGATGCCACTCTGTCTAATGTTAATTGTTTCAAAGAAGGCCTTTGATTCTGTTGAGATGGAAGCAGTCTTCAAAGCCCTAGCCAATCAGGGCATTCAAACTCAATACATCAGGATCCTCTGTGAGCTTTATTATGGATCCACTACCAGGATCTCACCATTCTACAAGGAAGTGATCATCCATGTCAAGAGAGGGGTTTAGCAGAGTGATACCATTTTGCTGAAATTTGTCAGTGCCACTCTCGAGAATGTCATGCGACAACTGGAATGGGAAGAAATGGGATTGAAGATAGACTGTCAGCAACTATACCACCTCCGCTTTGCTGTTGACATCATTCTAATAACACCAAACATTAGCTAAGCGACACAAATGCTGGCTGACTTAGACCATGAGTGTGGAAATGTCTACTACAGATGAATCTCATGAAGACAATGTTTATGAGAAACAGCCTCGTTCCTGATGTTTCATTCGCTCTCAATGGAATGACCATCTCCGAATGCAACAGTTATGTGTACCTAGGTTCTGAAGTCAACATGACGAATGACCTGGCACCTGAGTTGCACAGGAGGCAGAGAGTGGTGTGGAGCCCCTTCAAGAGAGTCGAAGAAATAGCTAAGAAGATGACAAAGAACCTCTGACTCCAGACACATCTATTCGATTCCACTGTTCTTCCTGCATTAACATATGCCTCAGAGATCTGGGCCCTACGAAAACAGGATGATAACGTTATTTGGGTCTCCCCAAGAGGTATTGAAAGAGCTATACTTGGAGTATCACGCTTTCCTCAATTGAGAGAAAGAATCCCGAGTTCTGACCTCTGTCGAAAGTCAAGAATCAGGGATGCTGTGTCATTTGCCAAGGCATCAAAAATCAGATGGGCTGGACACGTAATGAGATTTGGAGATGACCACTGTACTAAAGCCGTTACCGACTGGATCACACGAGACGTTAAAAGGCCGCATGACCACCCACCTTCAAGGTGGTCAGACTTCTTCATCAAAACCCTGAACAATTGGTTTGAGGCTCTTCATGTTCCTAGAACGAACAGATGCCATTGGGCTACACTATCACGGAACAGGGATGAGTAAAGATGTTACTGGCACCCTCTCGAGCAAATTGATGATTAATGGGAAGTCAACTGATAATCTTTTCTAACAGCTATATAGTACTCCACTGTGTAGATTTACCAAAGTTTTTTTACCAGTCATCTGTTCTTGGGCACTCAGGTTTTTTCCAGATTCTGGCTATTGTAAACAGTGTTACAATGAACAAAGAAGTGCAGATGTCATTTCGACTATACTTTTTTGCCTCTCCAGGATATATTCCCAGGAGTGGTATTGATGGGTCAAATGGGAGCTCAATTTCTAATTTTTGGAGAATCGACCATACTGTTTTCCAAAAGGGCTGAACCAGTCGGCATTCCCATCAGCCGTGAAGGAGGGTTCCTTTCTCACCACATCCCTGCCAACACTCGTTGCTTTTGTTCTTCTGAATGTGGGCCAGTCTCTGTGGTGAGAGATGATATCTCATTGTTGCTTTGATCTGCATCTCCCTGATGATTAATGATGTAGAACATTTTCTCATGTGCCTTTTTGCTATTCATATTTCTTCTTTGGAAAAGTTTCTGTTCATTTCGTTGCCCCATTTTTTGATGGGGTTGGATGTTTTCTTCTTGTGGAGTTCAACCAATACTTTGTATATCCTTGATATCAACCCCTTGTCAGATGTGTATTCGGCAAATATCCTTTCCCATTCTGTAGACTGTCTTTGTATTTTGGTCACTCTTGATGCTTTCTTGTCTTTTCAGACCAATGATGTCATACTTGATCTTTTGTGCTTATACCATCAGGTCCTCGATGAATGCATCATATGCCAGCATATGTGTATTTAAAATACAGACAGTCATTTTTGTCCTTCTTCATTTGGCAGCCTAGTATTATCTGGTACCATTATACCAGTACCAGATAAATATCTCATCCGCAGACCTCCACTACCTCCACTTCCCAACTGCCGCCACTTTACAGGATGCTTTCCAGACCGTACGGCCACTTTGCAGCCTCGGACACATCATAAGATATTTAATACCCATCTTCCACGATTACCGCACCATATTTGATATGGTTCAAATATGGTTTAAACAATGGGAACACCTGCAAGGGCGATTAGAGACCACCCTAAAAGCCTCTATCCCTCTCAGAGAGGCTGGCAAGCTACTGAGTGGTCCACCCCGCACAGTAGAGCCTGGCAAGCTATCCGTGGTGTATTCGATATGGCAAAACCAGTAAATACAATGGATCTCATTCTCCTCACCCTGAAAGAGTCTCCAATATATACCAAATTGCAATAAAATCATTCTTATAAAAGCTGATGTGACAGAGTTCAAAATGTTCATTTGTGTGGGGGGTGGGGGGCACCAGGTTACACCAGGTTACCACAACTGTTTAGGAGTAACTTCATCGCTGTCCTCAGGAATCACTCCTGTCTAGTTTGGGGGAGCATATGTGATGCCAGGAATCTAAACCTGGTTGGCCACATGCAAGGCAAATGCCCTACTCTCTGTATTATCCCACAGCCCTCCTGTTCAACTTTCTGACAGATCAAGCAGTGGGATCAAAAGCTTAATTTGGCTTCAAAATTAAGAAATTGTATATATTTTCACAGTGCCAAGTACACAGTTAAATGTACAAGAAATGCTGGCTACAATTGGATTATCTTGGGGCTGCAGAGTTTAACAAGAGCTGAGGTACTTATCTAGCTTGTGACTGACTCCAGGTCTCTACTTTGATACCTGGCATTCCACTATCCTATAAGCATTGCTCAGGTGTGACCCCCCAAATCATTCCCCAGTTCGGCCCAAATTGGTCTTACCCAAGGAACCAAAGATCTTTTTTTTTTATATGCCCAGTGGTGTTCCAGTGAGTAAACCTCCCCAGAGAAGTCAAATGACACTAAGAAGGGATGGAGGAAGACCAGTTTTAATTACAGTGGCGAGCTCAGTTAGGTTTGACCAAAAAGGTTGAGCCCAGTTTCAGGCTTTTGTCACACTTTTGTAGGGGTCTGCCTTTGTGACTGGAGAGGAGAATGAAAGAGGTCAGGGATTACACAAAACACACCGAGTGAAATATTATATAAATATGTCAGAGTGAGACAACACATAGATGTGGTTAAAACAGCAGTAGGGGTCAGATTTCCTCTGACTGTAGTAATGATTTAGAGAGGGACAAGAACCAGACTTCCTTTACCATTGTTGCAGGTATGGTTATTTTTAGTTCACAGTGATCTGCTCCTCTCTAGCCTGGGTCTCTTTGCAGTCAGCCCACTACTTCTGCAGAGGAGGAATTTTCCACTTTGAATGTTCTATTTTCCATCTTCCATGACAGTCAGAATCTGTGCATTTCCCCTTACCGCCAACCACCCCCTCCCACACACAAACTTTTTTTTTCAAGTTTATTGAATCACTGTGAGATAGACCCTTACAAAGCTGTTCATGATTGGATTTCAGTTATACAGTATTCCAACACCCATCCCTCCACCAGTGTACATTTCCCAGCACCAGTGTCCCCAGGTTCCATCACCCCCACTCCCACCCCCTGTCTAACTCTACAATAGGAGCTTTTCATTTCTCTCTCTCTCTCTCCCTCTCTCTCTCTCGCTCGCTCCACCCCCCCCACCCCCCGCTTTTGGGCACTGTGGTCTGCAACATTGACACTGAAAAGTTATCAAGAATATGCTTTACCTACTTTTAATCCTCAGACCTTGTCCAGTGACACACACACGCTCTCTTTATTTTTCACTTTCTTGTAAGGAAAAAGAAACAAGTGCTGAAAGGAAAAGGAAACTTACTGACTTTTGGCAAGCATCCCATGGCCCTGTTTGCTGCTTTGAATATCAATTTCATTTCTCGAGCAGGAAGCCTCAAGTCCTGGTCGAATCTTGTCTCCAAGGCAGCTGTTTGAAAATTAGTACTTCATTTAATCCTGATTCAACTCATTAAAACAGGTAAGTGAAGTCCTGCCATCCAATGTGCCTTAGCTTTTTGTGAAGACAATTGTGTCCCCCTTTCTTTGAAAAAATACCAGACTGAAATTGCTGTTAATGTTCATATGTTTCTTAATATAAAATTCAAACACAGGGAACTATAAAGTATAAACTCTAGTGTAATATCTATAATGTTCTGTCAGTTTCTACAAATTATATAATTTGATGCTTTATATAAAAAGATATTTTTGTAAACAAGGGCATTGCAGGCAATATTGAAATTTTCTTTGAATCTCTTCTACATTCTCTTCCCTGCTTTTCTAGAGAGAAATACTATTTTGTTACCAATTATTTTTAAGCTCGTGAAAATGTTTTATTTTTTTGTGTGTGTGTTTGTGTGTGTGTGTGTGTGTTACCAGTTTGTTTTGTGGCCACACCTGACTGTGCTCAGGGCTTTGTCATGTCTTTGTGCTCAGGGATCACTCCTGGTGGACTGTTGGGACTACATAGGGTGCTGGTTTGAACCCTGGTTGAACCCTGGTCAGTCACATGCAAGACAAACTCCTTACCCATTGTACTATCTCTTTGCCTTACTGTATCTTTTATTGTAAGAAACATTTTAGTTTCAATACAGTCAAATTATCTTTGTCTTTAATATCTTGGTCTTTAATAGTTTTTAACCTTTTGTAATGCAAAGTTATAAAGATATTTTTTAGTGTTTCACTAATTGTGAAAAATTTATTATTACCTATTGTCCAGTTCTATAGAATTTGGCTTAAAAATCTCAATAACATGTTTTATCAGGGGCAGAGAAAAACACACTGAAAATAGAAGCAAAAATTCTTCTTTAATCCATTATGACATACTAGTTCCTTAAACTGTGATTTTTATTCCATCAGATGCAGAACAATGGCTCTGACAACCAGATTGCCATGGAATGTGGAAAAGAGGCTGCAAAAATTTTTTGAAAATGTTTCTTTTACACTTCTTTATAAGTCTGAGGTTCATGAAAGGAGCACTGATGAATTCCTTAATAAATGCGCTAGCCAAGGACCTACTCTAACAGTGATTTACATAGAAAATAATATTTTTGGGGTCCTGATGACTGGTAATTATCCAAAAAATTATAAAAAGTCAGTAGAACCCATTTCTTCCTTATTTTTTTCATTTATATGTGACAAAAAGATGGAAATGTCTACTGAATTTTTTAATTTAAAACAAATTGAAATTGATAAAAGCAATATTATATTTCATTCCTTTAATAAACAGGTTTTCTGTTTAGATCCTTCCAAAAACGAATTTTTTTTATGTTTTTTGTTATCCGAAAAATTTCAGATAGATTTTCCAGATATGTTTACTGATGTATTGTACTATCAAGAATGTGAAGTTTTTCGAGTTGAAGGTATGTTAAATGAGGTAATACTACATTTGGATTCTTATTTTTTTGTGTTTGGAGCTATAAAATTGCTCTTCAAGAAAAGGAAAAATGAAACAATTGAATTGAATGCCATCAGATTTCTTTTTTATAAACTCCAAAATGAATTCTGATGTAAGTTAATGAGGATATTACTCCAAAAGTTTTGAGTAAAGTAATATGAGATGTGTGATTAGAAAGACGAGGGTGAGGGAGAAAGTGAGGAAGATCAGAGTAGGTCTATTTTTGACTCATGACCTTTTGGGTGAATCCTGAATTTCTATACATAGTTATGTGAGATCTGCCTGGATGTGCTAATGTGAAAATAGGATAATTTCCCTGCTTTTTCTCATTTTGCTGTTAATCTTAATTTTTAAATGAAAGACTTAGCCTGAGTTATGCAACTAGATTTAATTCAATATTTGAAAGGTAGACATAGTCATATTTAAACAGACAAATTAAAAATATTGTCCTATGTTTATATCCTACAGGAATTAAGCTTGGTGATGGCTTCTTAAGCAAGCTAGCAAAAGCTGAGCAGTAAGTTATTAAGCTATTATTCTTTTCATTGACAAAAATTGTACATGTGGAATGAAAAGTATGTGAAAAATAATACCATTTTGAGGGATAAAAGTAAGTCATAATGTTACTGGCATAGGTTAAAAGCAATTTAGAACAATAAAACAAAACCACTCCACAGAGTGAAACTTTTATACTGTGTCTTCTGGTATTTTGATTACTTGTTTTACTTTGTTTCTATTATATTTAAAGTTTCAAAGAGAGTTTGAATGACATTTTTGACAATCCTGATACTTTTCTTGAATAAAAAGCTTCTGGTTAATTTTAGTGAATTGAAGTCAATGTCCCTTTCTCCCAATTTATAGCTAAATGTTGGCATTGTATGTGTTTCATATATATTAGGTAAAGGTAAAGGTAAAGGCCCTCCCGTTGATCGTCGATTTGCTCGAGCGGGCCCAGTAACGTCTCCATTGGAGACTTTGTTGTTACTGTGTTTGGCATATCGAATACTCTCGGTAGCTTGCCGGGCTCTCCGAGAGGGGTGGAGGAATCGAACTCGGGTCGGCCATGTTGGCCGCTTGTAAGGCGAACGCCCTACCCGCTGTGCTATCGCTCCAGTATTCTTAATATAATATTATTGCTAAAAATGGAGACTGAAAGATTGTAGAAGGACTTATTGATCCCATTTGCTGATCGCAGTTCAATGCCTGCCACCACATGGTTTATGGTTTCCCTGAACATTGCTAGAAATGACAATTGCCAGAAAGCAACTCAAGCATTTCTAGGTGTATCCAAAACCCATTCCCAATTAAATAATTTTTAAATATAATGTTATTACTGCAAAATTCACATGTCAAACTACCCGTGACCTATCCGAATTGCCAAAAACAGTAACAACAAGTCTCACAATGGAGACGTTACTGGTGCCTGCTCGAGGAAATCAATGAACACCGGGAGGACAGTGCTACAGTGCTACAGTGCTACTGCGAAATTAATCTTCAGTGCTGTTGATGAATCTCATATTTATCTCATTTGAGGTTAATAGTTTAACAATAATTTAATTTATGGTTATTTTAATTTGGTCAGATATAAATAGTTCAGGCACAAAATACATTACAAAAACTTACACTATTTAAAAATCATATTATATATGTATATCTCAAAATAAATAATTAAAATATATTTTAAAAGAGAAAAAGCCTCTGGACAATTACTCTATTTTTTAATAGACATTTAAATATGTATTTAATTTTCCTCTATTAATAGGCACAGACATAGTCTCCTACAAGATCTCAGAAACTTCAAGGTCTATAGAAATTTATTTTCAGAAATTCATATTCTTTTGTTGGGTCCCATTGGGTCTGGAAAATCGAGCTTTTGCAATTCAGTGAAATCTATATTCCAAGGCCACGTGAGTCGCCAGGCTCCAGTGGGATCTGATTTCTGCAGTATTACTGAACAAGTAAGTTGTTTCAGTATATCCTGAGGATGTTTAATAGATTGTAATTATTAAGTTTGTCCATTATTTCGTTTTTTCTTTCAGAACATGACCATTGTCCAACAAATAATTAAATGCCAAATAAAGTGTAAAGTGGGAGTAAAAGTTGAGTCATCAGTGACTCTGTTGGATTATATTATACAGAAATACTTACAATTTTAAAAATAGATGCACGAAGTAGTTAAGATAGTTTTGGTACTTGTAATAGACAAAATACATATATGTTTTTTTGAAAATATTTTGTCTTATTTAATTATGTTTCACTCATATCCCATATGATTTTGCATAAACCGGCTTTTCTTATTAAATGAGACTTGTATAATACACTAGATATTTCATTATATGACAATAATGTAATAAATGATTATTTCCTACCAAACCATAACAGTGCATTTTGGTGGGTGAATTTTTAAAAAGTAAATATATCGATACTCTTATAAAGTTATTGTCACAGTGTTCTTTAAAGGAAATAAATGCTAATATTTTTAAGCTGTTATTCCAATTTTTTAACCAATTGTAGTATAATATTTATATAAAACCATCTACTTCCAAACTTCTAATTTTTATCTTTCAATTAAATAAGGAGAATTTGAGGAGTGATGTTTCCATCATAAAAGTAAAAAAGTAAGATTTCAAACTCTTCTCTTCCTTTTAATCTACAATAATATACACTGTGACATGGCTTAATCATGGTCATTCATTTGTTAAAGTGGTCATTCTTTAGAAAGCTCAAGATGTTGTAGTAATAATATTTTTCTCTAAGGTCAGAAGCAGTTTGTGTCTGAGAAGGACCAGAAGCTTTAGAGGGGACAATAAGACAAAAGACTTATTCTTTTTATTGGCGTGTGGGGGGCATACCCAGTGATATTGGGGCTTACTCCCGACTGTGTGCTCAGAGATTATGCCTGATGGCCTTAAGGTGCCAGACATGGTGCCAGGTACCAAACTCTGGTTGGTCACATGCAAGACAAGCACCTTATATGTTAAATTATTACTTCTCTCTTGATATTATTCTTTGAAGAAATTGTTGACAGCTTCTCTAAAATTAATGCCTCATTGACTATACCCCTTTAAATAAACTGCTTGATATTTTAGCAAATGAGAGTGTTCTTAAAACTCATTACTTAGTATGGATTAAAATTTAGTTTCCTGTTACCACAGTAATATTTATTTTGGAAAGTGTGTAAAGATTCTCAGTTTCAATGAGAAGACACTCAGTCTTAAGCTTTGTCTCGCATGTTTCAAGTCCTTGCAAGTTCAAATTAGTTGTTGACAAATTTAATAAATTATAATAATTTTAAACAATTACCATGGAAAACAATTTAAAGAAAACAGGAGAGAGAAACTCAGGAAATAAATAATGAAATTTAGGAAGTCAGTAAACAAAGAATAAATAATGCTAGTAAAGTCTTTATAATTTATATCTGTAAATACTCAAAATATGAATAAGCTAATCTCATTTAAAAGGAACTGCATGGTTGCATGAATTATAAAACAGAACTGAGATGCCAGAGAAATAGCTGAACAAGCTGAAGTATATGTTTTGCATGCAGGAGACATGGGTTTGGTCCTCTAATTTCCACCAGGAGTGATACGTGAGTACAAAGCAGGAATAACACCTGAGCACTGCTGGGTGTGACTCAAAAACAAAAACTAAAACTAGAAAAACTGTATCAAAATTATACGCTAAATTTTGGAGATTTATTTTAGTTCTCAAGACAAGCATAGATTCATAATGACTGGGTAGAGACAAATATATTAAGGAAATGGTTTTTTTAAAAGGCGAAAACAACTCACTTATTACAAGTAGAATAGATAAGAAAAAAAACAATGAGACATTTATGTGTTTTATAATGATAAAGAGATTTATATTGACAGTTAAGTAAAGAAAATATTCTTCAATTTATTTCCCCAACATAAAAAAGCTAAAATATGCAAGATAAATTTAAAAACACTTAAAGAGAGAAATAGATAGTAATGCAATGATAGTAAGACGCTTTGACACTGACTCATGTTAGTGTCAAACATGATGCACTATCCAGACAAAAAAAAAAGATGGAAAAACTTTAAATGACACAATAGACCAAATGGAAATGAGATACATATGGAACATTCCATTAAAGATCAGTGGAATTAACATTCTTCTCATGAGCAAATGGGGCATTCATAAGGATAAATTATATTTTAAGATGCAAAACAAGTCTCAAAAATTCATATAGATTAAAATCACATGCATGATTTATAATAATAATAATATGAAGTTAGGAATAAAATATAAGAGGAAAGCTGAGAAAATCACAAATGTGTGGAGACTGAGTAACATGCTACTGAACATTGGATCAAATAAGAATTAGAGATAAAATTTTCAAATATACCTGGATGCTTGGAGACAAAAGACAAAAGAAGAATTTCAGGACCTGAGAAACATAACAGTGATTTTAAAAGAAAAGTATAATATGCATATATGCATGTATGTATTTACATAGATATATTCTCTCTATATTCCCTCAAGAAATAAGAATAGTCTAGAATACATAGTAGTCTTACTCATAAATAAACTGAAAAAGAAGAAAAACAAAATAAAAGGTAAAAACAAAGTAGAAGGAACAAAATAGTTATGACAGGGTAAGAAAGATAGTATGGGGTTAAGATATTTGCCTTGCATGTAACCTACCCATTTGGATCACAGAACTGCATACGTTCCCTCAAGCACCACTAGGGTTCACCCGTGACCACAGTGTCAGATATAACCCCTGAACATCAGAAGGTGTGGCTCTAATACCAGACAGAAGAAAAAATATGAGAGTTGAAATAGATCAAAGTTATCAAAGCCAATACAATATGCCACTAAAATAAAGAGTTTTCATAGAATCTTCCATGTTTGATTCAAGAAGAGATAGGAAATCTGAGTAGATTAGTCACTAGTAAGAAAATTGAAATGCTAATCAATCCTTCCCCCTAAATGTAGAACCAGAAAATGTCATTGACACATTTTATGGACAAAAATTTAATTCTCTTTCTTTGCAAACTCTTAAAGTAACTTATTTCTGAAACTTGTATTTCTTTGAATCAGAAACTGGTAAAAGGGCAGAAGGATAGTTTAATAATAGACAAGTTGTCTTGCATGTGTGAGGCCTGTGCTTGATCTCCATCGTTGAAAGAAAAGACATCACAAAAAATAAAACTGCAGATGAATATATTCAAGACAAGTGCTCAAAAAATGTTTTAATTTTAGTGATCCTGGAATTGAATCAGTGTCTCATATACAAGAAATGGAATATGGAATAATACATTCAACAGAGAAAGTCACATTGTAGTTTGAGTTGGTAACTCAAAGTGCTTTTGCACTTAAAATTTTTAGAATAAGTACAATTCACATCCAAATTCATGGCGTTTCCACAGAATTTGACTTAAAAATTCATAAAAGTTACTTGGAAATACAAAATAGCTCAAACAGCAAAAAAAAATAAAATCTAAGTAAAAAAAAGAACAAAAAATGGATTGATTATGCCACGTCACTTCAAGTTAGTCAATAAAACAATGATAACTTAAAAAGAATTATCATAATAGAAGTAGGATATGTTTTCAAACACTTAAGAAAAAGTCAATGTTATAGAATTAAAACTGCATTAAGGGGGTATGGTGCCGCCAGTAGGTCAACCTGTATCTGTGAGGCGAGTGCATCAGCAGCCTGATGGCACCTTCAGACTTCCAGATACCCCAAAATTGCTGCTGTGCCTTTGGACCCCCAAAAAAAACTTGGGGCAAAGTTTACCAGGAAAGTAAATGGCCAAAAAGTATGTGGGAAACACACCCACAAACCACCTTCAGCTCAGCTATATAATCGGAGGCATGGCCTCTCTGGTTCCTGATTGAACTGCTTAATGGCCATGATTCCAGAGACTCAGAAACAAATCTTGAAACTCAGTGGCTTTTGGCAGAAATGCATCCAGTCCCTGCAGTAAGTTACTGGTGCTGGGCCAACCCAGGTGGGAATAGGTTTCGTACCTTGGTCGTTCCCCCTGGTGGCCCGGTGGCCACCATCCTCCAAAGGCTACTGGACAGTCAGGTTTGGGCCCGCAGTGACGGGACGCAGGGCCTCATGGGATGGCAGTGGAGCCGGTCCTGTCCTCCCTATCCCAATGAGACCCCCAGTCATCGCCCACTAATGGCCTCTCTGGTTCCTGATCAAGCTGCTTAATGGCCATGATCTCTGAGATTCAGAAACAAATCTCAAAACCCAGTGGCTTTTGGCAGAAATGCGTCTGGACCCCACAGTAGGTTACTGTTGCTGGGTCACCCCAGGAGGGAAAGGATGTTGTCCCTCCGCCTGCATCCCCCTGGCGGCTCAGTGACTGTCATCCTCCAGAGACCATTGGACAGTGAGGTTTGGGCCCGCAGTGACGAGACATTTTGGGCCTCACAAGGTGGGGGTGGAGCTGGTCCTGTCCTCCCCACCCCAACGAGACCCCAAGTCATTGCCCACAAACGGCCTTTCTGGCTCCTGGTCAAGCTGCTTAACGGCCATGATCCCAGAGACTCAGAAGCAAATCTTGGAACCCAGCAGTTTTTGGCAGAAATCCCTCCAGATTTAAGTGTTAAAATTTCGGAATTTCAAAATCGCGCGGCCACTACTGCAGCCACGTGACATCATATGTTATTCATAATCAGCAATAGAAAACAAATTTTCTACTCTTGCCTTTTCAGCAGATCTGAGTGTTGGGGTAAAATCTCAAATAATAATGGTGCGTCTGGTGTCAAAATATAGAATGTGATCAAAGTAGAGAGAGAGTAATATGGAAATCATCTGCCCCACAGGTAGGGGTAGGGTGTGGGATGGAGGTATACTGGGGTTGTTGGGGCTGGAGAATGGGCACTGGTGAAGATACGGTTATGACCAAGACTTAGACCCGAAAGCTTTGTAACTGCTCTCAAGGTGATCCAATAAATAAAATTATAAAAAA